AAGAAGATGTGGTTTTTTCATAAAATGGAGTACTACTCAGCCATAAAGAATGAGAAACTAGAGTCATTTATAGCTAAATGGATGCATATTGAGGCCATACTCTGAAGTGAAATAAATAGGACACATATGTGTAAATACTGAATAGTATCTCTAGTGTGAGAAACTGAAAGTGTAAATAAGGATAAAATTTATTTTTTTATATGGTTGAGTATTTAGAAAGTAATATTCTCACCATCATTGAAATGTTACATCATCTAACCTTCCAAAACACTTCATACTCTTCTTTTCTTCAGGGTCAATTGAAAAATAAGGAAAACATAAGATATTAATATCTTTGATATGTCTTGTATGTGGTGCAAGGATAGAAGGATATTAATGTCGTAAGGAATTTTTCTTAACATAACTCAGGTTTCTCTTGTACTGAAGAGTGACAGCAGACAAGTTTCTCAGTAGTATGGGAAATATTTACAATCCAATATGAGAAAGAAGTACTTCATAATGCCTACGTATAACAACATATGACAAAGTTCACTGTTACAGCATTACAGATAAAATTTATAATTTTGTAATGTTTTGACTAATTAGATATTGATCTGAATTTGAAGAGAATTTAATTATTACACAACTTTCACTTCAAACCTCCCCCCCTGCTTGTGTGTTCATCCATTTTGTACACACATTTCCCCTCAATTTTACATTTCTCCCTTTCAATTTTGCTGTCCAATACGTGTATCAGATCTTTCACTCTTAAATTCCTTCCCTGTTTACTCCATCACCACTTTCTTATTCATGGCTCTCTTCTCTACTTTTTTTTAAATTTCCCACTAAGAAATCTTAATTGATGTCACTTCCTTTGTGTTGGAATTTCCTTTATTTAGAGGAAACTGTGTGAAAATTTTCTGAAACTAAAGTAGTATGTAAATCTAAAATAAATATTTTATTTATCCATGAGTCTTAAATTTACCGACATCTCTTTCTTGGAGTAAGTGGAATGTATACTCTTGTTTTTTAACCAATGAGCTTTGTTTCATTTACCTTCCATGAAAGCTCTAAGCATATGTGATCTAGGATGTTCAAAGACTTTGGAGGCAAGCCAAGGTTGACACAACTTATCCCTAGTTATTGCACTTAGTTACATTGACTGTAGACAGGTTGTTTCATTTGTCTAAGACAACCATCAAAATACCCCAGAGAACTGGTGTTAAGGTCACATATATGTAGATCTTTATTTCTCACATCACCTTTTCTGCCTCCTATTTAGCCTTTAATAGACATATCTAGTCATGTATTTGGTAGTTATTATGTTATTTCATTCTTCATTTATTGTTAGAGAAAAATAAAATATTTTGCATGCTGATTTCATAGAAATTTAAATGAATATTGTTAGCAGGCTGAATAATTGCAATGAGCATTTTTCCATTGCACACCTGCAAATGTTTGGAATTCTACCACCTCTGGTTTCTAAATTTCTAAATCTCTAAATTCTAAATTTCTAAATTTCTAAATCCCTTTATCATTTTAATTTACTCTAAGGACATTGATATTGATTGTTATTATATACTTGTAGGATCAGTTAAATTTACTTGCCCCAGCAGATATGTGAAAGGCTGGACATTTATTCTAGGCCTTCTTGACAACAAAGATGCAGCCCGTTCTGTTGTGTTCTAGCATAGGCTTTGAAAACCACAGAGCTTTGGAGCAGTGGAAATCCTAATAATCAGTAGACAAGAAGGGATAATAAACTTAATAGAAAGAAAGGTAAGTACCAGATTATGACAGGGGACACAAAGATATAGAAGCAATAGCTTTTGAACTACATATCTTCTCTTTCCTTGAAGGCAGTTGAGAACATGAAAATGTAGTAAAAATCATAGCAATGAGAAGGAACAGAGAAACTCAGAAATGTTTCTCAATCACTAAGCTGAAGACTGTCAGCAAAGTATAAAACTTAGAGAAGAGTAGTCCAGGATGAAAGGGGAAAGAAAAAGAAAGTTCCATCAAAAACAAAAGTTTTCACATGTATTCCCAAATATTTCTAATAAAAATTCGATCAGTTATATTCTTTTGATGAAGAAAAAGCAGATATCAGACAAATACTTAAAATGTATAATCTTCATTGAAGTTAATACATTTATCTCATTTAAAATTTAACATAGTGGTACCTCAGGGGCACAAACATAATTAGATTTACTATTTGGGGGAAAATGGCTGTGTTTGTGTTAGTGTGGGAAAGATAGCTGTAGTTGCATTTGTCACTCCATGTGGAGTTTCTGAACAGAAACACAATTTTGTTGAATGCTTTTGTTTGAAAACCAGATTGTGTGTAAACAGAAGCATTTGTGAACTGAGGTATTACTGTGAGAACTTGGCTTTTTCATTTTTGAAAGGAAACTGACATGCAGGTAAAAGGATGCATCACCATCCATGATTTTCTATAATTTTACTGGGGTTTTTGTTTTTTATTTTTACTATTAAATATCTTCTTAATGCTAAAGTATAAATTTTGTGAGCTACTTTAAATGTAAATATTCCATGTCACCATTATTTATTTGGTTTTGGCTTGTGTGATACAGGACATAGAAAGCAGAATCATACACTCTATGGGAGCTCTCTACCACTGAGCTACACTTTCAGTCCTTCAAGTCTCCATTTAAAAAGTTGCTGAGAATAATGAACCTCAACAATAATACATTTCATATGCATTTTAGGCACTCCAGACCTTCCAACAGCTTACACTGTTGGAAGCAAAAAAAAATTTTTGAAAAAGATTTAACTTTATACAAATAATTACAGACATATACTAAAGATAATTAATATTTTTTATATTTTTGAATTTCAAAATTCATGAACTCCTTTTATATTCCATTTTAATTTAGGTCAGGGAGCCTTGAAACTTGATGTTCTCAATTCAGAGATAATCTATTAACTTGTACCAAGAGATGGCTCTTTATCATTATGATATACTTTATAAAAAATTCAGAATGCATTCAGTTCAGTAAGGCCAAAGAATAGTCAATGTAGTTATTCTCCATTTTTTTCAGGCAAATACATGCTTAATGATTGAATGTCAATTTCTATGTACAAAAAAACCTCCTAATGCTATATGGGTGGTTTATTTCCTAAATCTGATTTTGACTGATGTGGAAAATCTCACCAACTATATTTTGTCTCTAGGTAAAATGCACAAAAACGAAGTGGAGAATTTCATACATGAAAGTGCAACTCAATTTATTATAGGGAAGTTTTTCATCTTTGTATATGGCCTGACATGCTAGATTTTATTTGACAGCTGAATTTCATAGACAAGAACTAGACATTTCTTCAAAGAACCTGAGCAAATACTGTAATCCGTTTTCTTCTGAAATTACAGTGGTTGAATTAGACACAAAACATTATGAATGTCACTTTGCCTTTCCATCAATTAAGGTGTTCAAAAAATTGCTTCATGCTGCATGTCTTTGAAATTATTATATTTATCCTGAACTGGCCCTTCAATTTGTTCTATTAAATACTTTGGAGGTTAGAGCAAGACATCAATCCTGAACAGGTGTGGAAAAGTTTCTTGATGTATAAAAGTGTTCTATTTTAAAGCGCTTTTAGCAATTTTAGTGCATCCACTGCTGTGAAAACCCATATAAGTAGAAAGCAAATTCATTTTCTTTTAAAGGCAAGAAAATATGTGAGTCAAAATCAGAGCTAATAGCACCATGACGAGAGACAGCTGGTGATTTTACTGAAATTTTCCCTTCTATGTTTCATTGTTCTAGTGTTGATCCTCCTCATCGTCACCATGAGAAGACGGAAAAAAGAGACCCTCATTTTTGATGAAGAGAGAGATATCAGAGAAAATATTGTTAGATATGATGACGAAGGTGGGGGAGAGGAAGACACTGAAGCGTTCGATATGGCCGCTCTGAGAAACCTTAACGTCGTCAGAGATACCAAGACCCGGAGGGATGTGACTCCAGAGATTCAGTTCTTGAGTCGGCCGACTTTCAAAAGCATCCCAGATAACGTCATTTTTCGGGAATTTATCTGGGAAAGACTGAAAGAAGCCGACGTTGATCCGGGTGCTCCCCCATACGACTCTTTGCAGACATACGCCTTTGAAGGAAATGGCTCAGTAGCAGAATCGCTCAGCTCTTTAGATTCCATCAGCTCAAACTCTGACCAGAATTATGACTACCTAAGTGACTGGGGACCTCGCTTTAAACGTCTCGCAGACATGTATGGACCTGGCCAAGAGAGTTTGTACTCATAGCCCTAGAACCTTAATTTGAAATGTACTGAAAAAAAGGTAACATCAAAAAACACTACACACAGAAAGCAAGAACTCCATGAGTTGGAAGAAAATGGTTGTAAATATGTCTCCATTTTTAACTGTTTAGGTTTCTGCCTTGGTGAAGCATATCTTCATTAGACTTATCCAAGGGACTGCACTGACCACAGACTCTGAGCATTTGAAGGTTTTTTAATAAAAAGAAATTCTCAGCAGTTTGTGAATAGATAGCAACTCTAATATACCTGCAAAGGCACTTAACGTCCATGAGTAGATAGTGGCCTGTGTTACCAGTGAGCCAATGGTGCCCCAGACATACCTTCATGGTACTGTCAGCAAGGAGGAATAGAATTATTTCTGTGAGAGGAATGTGCCGTCAAAAAGTCCTGAAATTTCTTACATTTCAAAACTTGGCACAATTTAATTTATAGCAATGCTTTTAGCTTGCTAATATGACAGAATTCTGCAGAATTTGATTGCTGTTGGTTAGAAAAAATATTCTATTTAGCAATACATAAATTATCAGAATATCATTACCAAATGAAAACCCTGCAATAAAAGCCAGTAGAAATTTTGTGTAAATCAACAAAAGCCATTGTTTGGCAAAATAACTAATGGAATGTCCCAAACAAAAAAAGGCAGATGATTCTTCAAGTTGGTAATAGCTTTGAGATGCTTGTGTAGGTATTTTTTTCAAAAGAAGTTGCTGTCTATTCATCACTTTTTTATTATCTCTTCTGATTTGTACAGGAGAGTATCTTTCATTTTTTATTTGACACATGGTGTTATATTTATTTTGGAGCTCCAATCTTCACTAAATTCAGGTCCATCTTACTGCCTCATAGTATGAATTTCATCTGAACCTGCTGGTTTTTCTCCAGCCCGAGCTACATGAAGGAGATGAAGCATGGAATGGAGAAATAATCATACAGCAATTGAGCCCTGTCACAATTCACATCTCAAAGAGGAGCACAGCCACAAGGACGTACAAATTGTTTTTCTGAGCCATTAGAATGTACAAACCATTGAAATATAGTATTTGTGTTTTAGAAAGACTTCAGAAGGAATTGGGATTTTCTTTAATGCAAGATTTATTTTCCAAGACCATTAAGTTCTGTACGTTCCAAAGATGTTCAAGTATTGGTTTCCCAACCTCTTTTGTTGTAAACATATTAAGTAAAAGACTGGATTTTTAAACAATATAACAGAAATTTTAAATTTATCTTAAATTCTAATGCAAAGGTTTCCCTCAAGAACTAGCCAAGTGTTGTATAGTTTCTCTTGTGCTTTAAATGTGCCAAAGTGAAGAGAGTAATTGCAAGTAATCATTTGTGCTTAAATTTGAGATGAATATCTCAGTGTAAGACTTTTTTTTAACCAAAATAATATTTCTACTTATTTTTTCTGAGATTAGTACTTGTTTAATGTGCTTCTAATCAAGTAAGAATGGATTTATTTTTCCCTTATATTCTGCTAAAAAAAACCAACACAATTCATTGTTGGGCTCCTAACAACTTTACAGATAATGAACGCTGTGTAGGAAATTGTGTTCTATAAGTACTTCATTCTAAAAGGAAGCTCTGGAACCAGAATATTAATATGCTGATTACATAAAGAGAAGCTACGTAGGATTATGTGAATTTAAAGTCCATATTTAGAAGTGCAGTATGTGAAAGTGGCCTTCAGCTTCATAAAAATAAATAATTCAATAAATTTGACTATGTACAAAGAGTCCTTTAATTTAAATAAAGTTTTCTAGATGATTCATGACAAGATAGATATGCTTCTTGTTCTATGAATATGCATATATAAAAATAATTTTATAACAGTGTAAAAGAAACTGTTTCTCTCATTTAGTCATATGAGCAAGTTTTCCACATTAAAAAAAATAGTACACTTACCCAGTTCAATAAAACCAGGCTGTGGTTCAGGAATTATATAGTTGCTAAATCAGCAAGGTGCTGAGAAAACAGTTTTCTAATAATTCCCTTGTTGTCTGAAAGAAGATAAAATAGTTTAGTACATTTAGATTATGGTTTCAAAAATGCTGATTGTTGCATACATCACTGAATAAAGGTTTGGAAATACTGTAGAAAAAGCATGTCACATTATACACCACATTGTCTCTTCTTTTAAAATGTATGCATATTCTCCTTTTATTTTATTTCCCAGTAGTAGATTGAGAAAAGAAAGATTCAAGTTTGAAATTTTGGCATATATTCAATTGTTATTTCTGTGTAAAATATTGCAACATAGTATTGAACTTGGTTCAATACTTGCTTGAGAAGTCTGAAAGTCCCTACTACAATAGCATTTATCCAAAGTACTTTAGGATTAATTACAGTAGAATTAAATTTTTTAAAATTTGGTTTTAGCTTTTCTTTTTTTTCTAAAATTTAATGTTAAATATTTTATGTAATCCTTCAGAGATAGGCTTTCATTTCTTTTAAAAAAGGTATTGGATTAGATGATTGATGAAATCTATCTTTAAACTAATTGTTTTTCTCCAAATAATCATTTAGATGAGAAGCAGTCAGAACCAGCTCTCAAGATTCATTCATGTACATCTCTTTCCATGACCACTTAGGGTAATCCTTTTGAGTAGGTTGATGTCAGCCATGTTGAGAATGTCTAGACCTCCATGGTAATCACCACACACTACCCATTTTTTTCTCAATTAATCACTTGTTGATGCTTATCAAAACTGTTGTTCTTAAGTTATTTTATAAAAAGTGACCTCATGGTCATAGATACAGTATGAATGAACAGAATAAAAAACAATGACTTGCAGGAAACTTATACTATCTTATAAATATGGATGCACAAGTAAGTGATTTCCTCATAAAAAATCTTTGGATGTATTTTTTTAAAAAAGGGATGATTATATTATGAAGAGATATAGCTTAACAACTTTAAGTTCAAACAATAATTTAGGACATCAATTAATTTAAATATTGTCTATTTAATCTATACAGAGGTACTAAGATGTACTCATTATGCACAAAATAATGTGCATTTTGAAAAATGTATTTCTTTAAAAATTAATTACATTTCAGTTTTTACTTTTTTATGTCAAGAAACTACTCCCAAACACCAATTGTGGGTTGTTATTTTTGCATAATTGTAACCCAGCATAAAATAAGGAAACCAAATCTTACTGAAAAAGTCTCAGGTCAATTATAATCTTGATTCCCAGATCAGTCTCTCTTATAAAGCAATATTTCAAGATCAGCAACAGACCCAAATCAGAGACATTAAGGAAACATTAGCCAAATGTAAACAATGTGTAGATTTTCGGCAAGCAAATACTATGTGGACCTAGTAAAGTTTTGTTTTTTTTTTTCTTTTTCTTTGCCATGAAGCTCCATAAGGCTGTCTGCAGTTGTGGTTTGATAACAAGATATGTACAGGAAGTAAGAGTGTGCAAGCGATGATAGCTGCCTTTTCACTCTGCACTCTGAGAAGGTTTTAAATTATTTTAACTTCATGCACAATTACATTTACTACACTGGATGATGAGCAGACATAGGCAATTATTCTCAAGCATATGTAATAGTTGTACATGATATGAGTAGTATTGGTAATAAGACCCACATACTTAAAAAATGCAAAAGCTAATAGAGTGTCAGCATTTATATTCAAATATAAAATCTAAAAGAACTTAAACTTTTAAATATATTGCAAGAGGCAAAACAATTAAGCTTCAGTATTTTAAAGTGCTTAAGCACCGGCTATAAATATTAATCTTTATATTTTCATTTTAATTTGACATCTATTGACTTAGAATCTGTTCTAATTACCATAATTGTTTTTTTTAAATAATCATTTAAGAGTTTACTTAGAGTTAATGTAATTATAGTTGATTAAAGCTTCAACTTACTCTTGTAACCATTTTTGGAAAGACATGGCAGGAGGCAGGTGGAATATGTATGGTAATAGAGAAGCCAAATTATTTTCTGTTAATCTATGTTTTTGATCTTACATATGCAGGTACTTTTAATCACTAATAATGTTTATTGTGAGATATACAACAGTGTATGAAAGCTTAGCGAGGAAAGGTAGTATAATCATATTAGCTGTCTAGATATAATAAAGAGTAACAAAGAACTAATAGCATTTGCATTTTTAATATAATTCAATGATTTTTTTTCAAAATGGGATCACCCCTAGACCAAATGGAAAGTATATGAGGCTATAATTGGGCAAACGCTGCAGTGTATAATTCTATGGATACTTTTTTAAGCAAAAGAAGATCATATGTACATGTAATCTTCTGACACTTTTTCATTGTAATGATAAATGCTACTGGCTCAGATTTAATGGAAAAGGATATGTGCTTCTGTGCTGTGTGTGTGTGCGTGCCTGTGTGCGTGCCTGTGTGTGTGTGTGTGGGAGATATTGCAAAGTATGTCTTAATCAACCTTAATAAAATAAGTCTAATATCATCTAACACCAGTATGTAATTATCATTTTCCTAGAAAATCTGGTACTGACTAAACGGAGAAGTATTTTATTTTTTTGACAATCTAATATATATTTGGAGAAGGATTTTGGTAGCTAACAGAAAATGACTTACTGGTTAATGTAATTGCCACATTTTATTTTTATTGTGTGAATATGAACTCAAGACTAACACAGACAATCATTTGCGAATTACCATGGAACGTCACCTTCTTAGTATCAGTGCTGTGTACTAAAAATTACCCTGGTTTGTGGTTACAGAATCTAGGTCAGAGGCTCAATGCAGGCTTGTTTTTGCTGAGCCTAATACATTATTCTGTTTTGCTAAACTTTTATATATTCATGATTAAAACTGAGTTAATGACTATTTTGTCTATTTCTGAGGCTTGTGAGATGATTAAGTGAAGGTACTGTACTCTGTAATCTGTAAAACACTGTGAAAATGCAAGGACTTCTTATGAAACATTATGAAAATTATGTTAAAAGGTTGATTGTATTTATTATTATATGGTAAGCACTGATAATTTCTTTTGGAGGAAATATGCACTGATGAAGAATACATGCAATTAGAACCTTAAACTAGGAAAAATTATTGAAAGAGAGACAATTGGTATAATTAATTGAAATCTGACTTTAAAACCTTTAAGTGTTTAAAGTTTAGGGTCTAACATGAGCTGATTCAATTATTTAAAAGAATTAGAGATCAATGCCAAGGAATTACAAATAAAGAACAATTCTTTCTATTCATTGTGATGACTGAATGGAAGAGAAAGAGTTTTAGATGATTCCAGACTCACTGCAGAAATAAAAATACACCCAAATAACATTATTAAAATAAAATATTGAGTAGAATAGGTAGCTATACAGACATTGAGAATAGAGAAAAATAAGTGATTATGTAGGCAATTTGATAATTTTATCAATAACTGACATAATTATTAATTCATATACTTCAATGTACTAAAATACAGTAAAATTATGATTTATCATTAAAAACATTCTGAGTGCAATATACTATTGTTTTGATTCTAATATCTTACAATGATATATCTTAGCCTTTTATAAATGAAACAATTATAGAAAACAAAAGATAAATATATACTGAAGTCTATTATTTGTCAGTGATTCTCTACTCATTAAATGATTGTCAATAAAACCTCTTCTCAACCATTAGTTATCTGGCTGTTTTATGGTCAAACCAAAAATAACTATTTAAAAATACATTGATATCTATATGAAGACAAAGTTTAGAAATACTTGTTCATATATATGCTCATTCAAATCCATTGATGCTTGCACTATGATTTCATTAATTGATGTAATTTGTGCTAAGAATTTACATTTCTATAAACAGGAAAAATTATATAATACACTATCCTACTGCTTCATGCTGAACTTTTGTGAGTACAAGAAATATGTTTACTGTATTAAGACCAGGAATTTGTTTCACATTGTACCTGATCAGTATAAAAGTAATCATCTTTTAAAAATAATACATCTAATAAGTACATGGCATTTGCATATATGTATATAATATGCACACATACATAGAGAACCTCCAATTCTGTGTGTATACACATTTATATGTGTGCGTATATAGGTAAATGCATACACACACAATTTGAAGCTAAATGTTACATTGAAGTAAATTACTTTTCATGTTTGTTTGTAGCTTCAAAGATAATTATAGCTATCAGATCCAACCTGCACAGTTAAATAGAGTGAAAATGGTACCAAAAAAATGGATGTTTGCAGAGTTTCTCTTTGTTACAGATTTCAGAATTCCTCAAAATGCAGAGAAATTACAACTTCATACACTTAAAATACTTCATATACTTACAATATAAATTGAATTTAAACTATTAATTCATATTTGAAATATCAGTATAATTCCACTAGAAAAAAATTGAAAAGCTTTTACTTACTTGAATCGCTTGAATAAATAGATATGAAAAGACTTCAAAAATGCTAATTTGATTGACCACTCAATCAATTTTGAAAATCCAGTCCCAATTAACTATGGAAGTAAATATGATGTATAAAATATGGATTGAATATAGGTCAGAATCTGAAGAGATTCTTTTCAAATCATGCTGTACCTATCAATTCTCAAGAATTCGAGATTTTTAAAGCAGATACAGGAAATTAAATTTCAGAGCTTTAGAAATGTAGAGGTATACAATAACATGAATAAAGTATACAATTAACATGAATCAGATGTAGGAAAACAAGCAGTGATAATGTGAGAGCTGTTTATCGCCATGTTTTATTGTTGTGTGTTGTGTTGTATTTTTGGAATATAAAAACTGACACATATTAAGATACTATAGAAAAAATAATTTCCCCAAATTCGGATAACCAAAAATATCTGCGACATACAAGGACAACTTCTATTGTCACCATTCTCAGTTGTAATAGTGGTGTCTAATTGGCTTCTAATTTAAACCTCTTCATAACTTGGCACATGAAATTAAATGAGTATTATTGTAATGAAAGTTTGACGTGTTATTCTGAGTAACTGATATTTATATAAAATTATCATAACAAAAATCGCCATGTACTTATCATTTTAAGAGCCAGGAAGTCCTAATGTAGGTACTCTCAATTTTCTTATAAACCAGTAATGTGCCTCGCTTAGGCATCATTTTGGCCAGAAGGGCATACCCAGTCGAAGCCCAGAGTAGTTGTATAATTGTTATCCAAGTAAATATGTAAATGGTAGAAATGAAAGAAGAAAACAAGTAAGACATTTTGTCCATTGTCTTTTCTATTTAAACCTTCCATAAATGATGTTTTCATTTGGGTAAATAATAAGAAGTTGCACCTCATTACAAATTTGCACTCTCTAATTTAGTTAGGGTTTAGCTTCCTTAAAAGAGTATCAGAATTTTTCATTTATTCTTTTTCAAAATTCTAAATGGGAAAATAATAACAAAATCTGTATTTAAAATTACTGAGAAATTGGAAATAGTTATACTGTTAATGAATAGTATTTTATAATTTACTACCAATTTGAGGACCATGTCACAATATGTCAACTGCATGTTCTTAGGGTTTCTGCAAGTTCATGTACTTCAATTAAATTCTCGACTCAAAGAATGAAAACAACAAGATGACATGTGCCTTTACCAAAGAAAACATTTTCTAAATAAAAGGAAAGCAGAACAGAGCAGAAAAAGAAGTTTGAAGTTGAGGTATCAATAAATTGGGGCCCAGAAAGCATGAAGACCCATGCATTAAGCCAAGACCCATGAAGATGCTAATGTCATTTTAAAGAAAAACCAATCCCTAGTAAACATATATTATTTTCAGTCAAATATGAATGTATCATCAAAAATCACTAAGCACACAAGGCAAACCATCATGGAGACAGTTGGCAGAAATCTACAAAAACTTCAAATATTGTATCAGAAACATAAAAAGCTACATCTAGAAGTTTAAAGAGATAGAAGATAGATTAATACATGAGGAATAAAGATAGATTATCCCTGATGTGGTATAATGGCAATAGAACAAAATAGCATATTTAGAAAAGAAAAATTTAATTTGTGAAGATACAAATGCAGTGAAGAGCATATATATATATATATATATATATATATATATATATATATATAGTTTTAGACACGATGCAAAAGACCTGTTAGCCTCAGAGCTAGACTGGATGAAACTAAACAGCCTTCTATGTAAATAGTTTTTAAAAGATACACTCTACAAGAAAATAAATAACAAGAATAGAACGTGACAGTCAGGCTCCCTCTAACCATGTTTCATTGTCTTATTTGTCTCACTTTTACTTGGTCCAGTTCTCTTATATTCCTATCCTTACACCAAACTGTACCTTTTTCTATTGATTTATTAAATTTATTGATCAGTTTAGCAAATACTGTTAAGAATATGTGAGGCTTCATTTCTACTAAAAATTAATTTTGTACTTTTACCAAACTTGTGGAACACATATGAAAAGGCGACAGGAAACCCAAGCAATTTGAATTAATGCAAGATAATTAAATATAAGCTCTGCTTTTAATCTTTTCTTTCTAGTTTCTTTTGGAGGATTTCTTTTGGAGGATTTCTTTTTTGGACATTGAAGATCAAAATAAACCCCTGGCTTTTTTTCCCCTCTAATATAAGAGAGGTTCATCTAGATTGGAAAGATACAGTAAGATAAGGATGTGACATAAATTATAATGGTGAGAATTCTTTTCTCTTTCAAGTATATCTGCATACTATGCTTACAATTCAGCTGCAACCAGAAGCATGGGACAAGTTCTTCCCCCAGAATGGTGGAGAGAAGTTCATGAACTGAGGTACCACTACTTTCTTCCTATAACCTAAACCTCATAAAATAATTTCATTAATTTGACTTACAGTTATAAATTATAGTGAGTTGAGGATAGGCTCAATCCTTCAGTTCTTGAATTAATGTGGATACCACGTATACCATTTATGGTGACTTTTGCTAACTTTGTAAATTTCATAAAGATAGATAAGATGTGCTTTGTATCTTCATATTCTAGTAGTGAGGAGAAGTGCTCTTGCTCTAGTTCATGACTAGGATTATTGACTTTTGGTTTTTGGGTTTTTTTGCCTTTTGATTCACAAAAGAAGAGACATCAGTGAGCATAGTGTCACTGGGATTTATTCTAAAATTATTTTTAACATGGCCGGATTTTATAATACATGTGCAGCTTTTGTATCTAAAGTCACTTGCTTCCCTTATTAGAATGATAAAACTTACTCTCCTAGTTCATGGTGGAGCAGTAGAGTGTGCTTGTGCCTATAAGCCTATGAGAGTAATTTAAAGTGTCTTAAAAGGTCATGTTCTATTTTCCTTGGTCTAAGAACTTACATTAATAGATAGCCTATAAAATAAATGTAATTAGTGAAAGTGTGCACTTTTTAAAATGAGTGTTTCTTGTTCTTAAAATACATTATTACATTTATTATATATAATTACATCACCAAAAAGTCTTAAATCATGGAAATACTACTTAAGGGAAATTTTAAAAATCTTATTTATGTGAAGTATATTTTACCATTATTACACATATATTCTAAGGACACATCTTATTATCAGCATTTCACCCACAATGATACTTGATGAATTGGTCAGTGTTCAGTAGACAGACATTAACTGATTAGCAAGGTCATGAACCAGGCAAAGTTCATTTTTCTCCTAACATTATTATGATCATTCAGAATTTTCAGCTTAATGTCATGATATTATAATTTTGCCCTCTAAGTATGTATGAATTGACCGTCATGTAGGTAGTTAAGAGTAATTAAAGAATTCTGTTTTTCCTCCAGATTAATATGTGCTCAGGGAAGAAAATATTCTTTAAAAAGATGATCTTTTAAGCTCTAATGTGTTTAGGTGAGAAAATATGTGAAGTCGGGTTATGGTCACATTTTTTATCTTTTTTAAACTTTTATTGTAACTGACAATATTTACAAATTTATAGGGTGCAATGTATCACATATTAAAAACTAGCAATGAAAAGATACTGAGTAGTTTACCACAGAGAACCAAGAAAGGTGATGAGTGTACTAATTACCCTGAATTGATCATTACATGCTTTATATATGTATGGAAATATCACATTGTACCCCTTAAAATAATCACATGGATATAGGTAAACCTTTGATAAGTTTTAAATATTGCTCACCTTCATACTAATTGATGCATATAAAAATCAAATAAATTTTCAGACATGTACGCTTAGGAGGGACTGAAGTGTTAGTGATGGCGGAATTAGAAGTAATGATTTAAAAATGAATATTCTGAATTGAATACAGAACTAAAAATGTACCTGCCAATAACAGGCAAGAAAGTTTTCTTATATTAATTGCCATAACATATATCCTGTGAATTATTGATATGAAAAAAATAGAAAAAGATATCTTTGTCTCTAGTTCTTGAATCCACTCAAACTGTTAATGTGAATTTCAGTAAATGTAGGTTGAAAGTAGTCTATTTGTTGAAAATTATTATTCAATTTAGTGATAATTCATGTCACAACCCTTCTTCCACATCAATTCAGCCATTCACTCATTCATTTTTGAAGTTTTTATAAAG